GGTATGATTTATGTTTTCACTCTAGACTTTTACTGCGAGGTAGTTTGAAATAGATGAAGCACATCTAGGGGGGCAAACCACTAAGGTAGCTGTACAGCAAGGGTCATTAACCGTTTTGAAACTGAAAGGTATTTCTTGGCTACTGATTGATCCAAAGAGCTCCCACTTTAAAGCACACTTTGGAAATCACTATTTTGGTCCACTTCTTTTTAACTCATTCACTCCCAAAGACGTTTTGAAATGTCTTTTCAGACTTGGTCCAGAATTGGCTGGTAATGAATGAGTTAATTTGATATTATTAATTTTAGAATTACTGATTATTGATGTGAAGACACTGATCATGTTTGATTTCTCACAATTTGTCTCAACAGCGTATGGTACAGATTGCTATCAATAAGCAGCACTTTATTTCTATAAATCTCAGCACGTGTTTACTTCGATAAATATCCTAGGAAATCACAATGTACCATTTCTGGTGAGCTATGTATAAAAGATGCCTACTTGCAAGTCATATAGGGCGAACGGCACCATGCTGATGACCCCCTGCTGTACAGTGTCGACCAAGGGCTTTGAAAGAAAATCCTGCCCCCACCTTTGTTTTCAGAAATGCCCTCAACGTGGTCAAGAATGACTTGATTGCTCGAATGGACGAGCTGTCCTGCGAGAAGGAGGTCCTCCAAGGGGAGCTTGATGCCGTCACTCAGGCCAAGATCAGACTAGAGGAGAAGAACAAAGATTTAGAAGACGAACTGAAGAAGTCTGTGAATTTTTGCGGTTTCACATTTTGATCTCGCGTCACACAATGCGCAATTGACGTTGAAAATGTTGCTTCTTTTTAGAGTTCAAGCTGAACTTGGGAACAGCAAACACAAGTCTAAGACTGAGAATGAGGATGATGTGAGTTCTTGGTCATCTACAGTACTGTCTGCATGTGTGGGACTGCTGGATTGAGAGAATAAACCACAATTGAACTCGATTGAATTGACTTGTCTCATATGTAATGAAAAAAAAATCCGTATTAAACCCCTTTCTGCACCCTGTAACCTGATAACATGATTAGCTGTCAACTGTAGTAAACCGCTGTTCATGAAAGGGTTAACACACAAATATTGATGTTGGTTGTACAGAGTGATGTGCCCACAGCACAGCGGAAACGTTTCACCAGGGTGGAAATGGCCAGAGTCCTGATGGAGAGGAACCAGTATAAGGAGAGGCTGATGGAGCTGCAAGAGGCTGTCAGATGGACAGAGATGATCCGGTAAGATTAGAATAACATCAGACAATATTGTAATATCAGCTTTATCTTATTAAACGATTTAAAGAAGGCTTTCAAACTGAGGTGATTTGGGCTGTGTTTTTGGACAACTTAATAATATTTACAGAGATTAAACATTCAGAGTCAAAATCACTCATGGTGACCGTTTTATCCCCTAATATTTGTACTGTATCTACCGTATTTTCCGCACATAAGTCGCACCTAAAAGCATTCGATTTTCAGAAAAGCCGACAGTGCGCCCTATAATCCAATGCCCCTTATAAATTGTGTTAGTTACAGTCTCTTGATAGTCCTCATAGAGTTGTTTCCCTGTTAGTGTTCCAATACCATCTGGTGGTGATTATTAGCAGGAACCAATTGGAATGTAAAAGGATTCTGCCCGCCATAATGCGGGCTCTTCTTTGTTGGGTTATTGCAGGCATGAGTTTGGTTTGTTGTGGAGCTATGCATAATATAGAAAAAGATTTCTGGATAACAGAGGAACCCGTGGAAAGGACTGACTTCTGATTATCTCACTATTTCTCCTTCTTTTGTGTACTCCTCTATAATCTGCCTGATGTCATGTGTCTGTGTCTAGGCGGTATGTTGGGAGGGTTAGCTGTAGGTCATGTCTGAGTTAAGATTACAGGCATTAAAGTTCTACAGTTGAGCTTTAGAGTACTAACATACTGTCACAGGCTACCAATGCAAACTACAGTGGTAGCTCTACTTACGAAGTCTCTTCCTATGGAATTTTCAAGTTACGAAATGCCTCAACTGGAAAATATTGCCTCTTGTGAGGAAAGAAATTCCAAGATACGAAAGGTAAAAATACAGTATGTTTTACTATTCGGAGCTCCGAGTTTCCTGAACGCAACATAGCTGCTCTGCCATTGGCTATTACCTAACATCTTCCTGGCATCTCATTGGCTAAGAGGGACCTCTACCATATGAGTCTATGTGCGTATATCGATTGATCTGTGTCTATGCAGCGTCCTCGTCATTCGCCCCTCGTAAATGTAAATCACCCAGAAAAAGTGTTCACCAGTCAGGCGATCGCACTGCATTGCATTGGACATTTTCGAAGGATTGTTAAAAGCAGACAAAGGCAGACGTTCATTCCAAAATGCCAGGCAAAAACCACTACTGAGAAAGAACATGAACTAAAGAGGGCAAAAAACGATGAGGATGCAGTTAAGTGAAATGACCATCATTTTTATTCTTTACTCTATTCGTTGTTTTTTTACATTATGCACAACTCTCATTTATTGTGCAATGTTTCATATTTTGATGTATTTTTATGCTTTAGAAAACATTTGTCTGAATTTTTAGGGGGCTTGGAACGGATTAGGGCATTTACATGGAAAACGCGTCTCGCCTTACAACATTTTCTAGTTTAGAAATTTCTTCCAGAACCAATTAATTTCGTAAGTAGAGGTACCACTGTACTAGTTAATGTCAAACTTGGCTTGAGTAGTTTAGGCTGACTGGATGTCACATGTCCTGTATGAGTTTGTGAATGCAATCTAACCTTCTGTTTAGTCCATGCATGTTAGATGAGTGCATGTCAGCTCATGCCTGAAATAGTGAGGATACGATGCACTTGGTGTAGGAGTGGAGAATCTGTGTGTTCTGCTTTCTCTTTGCTGAGGATACTAAGGTGTGAGTGGGTGTTGCCTAGACACAGATACGGTTAACCTGTTATGGCTTTCTAGTTGCAGTTAATGTTATAACCGACTCATAATAAAATGCTATCTTTAAGTTGGATAATTAAGACAAAGACGGCGCTAACAATTTAGGGTGAGGGGAATGTGTTTTTGTTCAATGTTGCATTGTGCTGTCAATAACTTCCAAATCATCGCACTAACCCTACACCCCCATGCTCCCCTTTTTCATTGCTGCACACATTTTTTTTTGCCTGTATAATCATACAGTGCAAATCGTTATTTTGACATATTCATGTTTATCCTTGTAATTGTTACCTTTTTTATGGAGGCTGGCATGCGAACAATTTGTCACCGACCTTTAATTGCTCAAACCCTCCCTCTGCTGGAGCCACTGCTTGTGTCCATCCCTCTATACGTTTGTCTGGATGCTCTTTCTTCCCTTCCCTACCCTTCCCTTCCCTTCCCTTCCCCCGCCCTCCTCCCTGCCCTTACAACTCCAGTTTCAGCCGTTTGTTCAGTTCATCGGGCGGCGCGTCAAAGAAACCTCCCGCTGAAGCCCCGGTCAACGTGAAGTACAATGCGCCCACATCGCACATTCAACCGTCTGTCAAGAAGAGGAGCAGCGCCTTGCAGCAGCTGCCCAGCGACAAGAGCAAAGCCTTTGATTTTCTCAATGAGGAGTAAGTCGGACACAAGAAATTGACTATTCATTTATATATTTACATAATGTACACAAATCAGCCAATTTTGAGACTTGACTCAAAAGAAAAGGTGAGCAAAAATACAAGTCAAATCAGTCAGGTTAACAAAACGCAAGTCAAATCAGTCCTTTTAACCTTGATTAAGAATTACAAAAGACATTTGTAAAAGAACTGTCGATATATACCACAGATTGGCAGTGGAGAGCATGGTGTCCAGGCGAGAACAGAAACGGGCACAGTATCAGCAGGTTAAAGCCCATGTCCAGAAAGGGGAAGAGGGCAGACTGCAGGCTTATGGCTGGAGTCTCCCCAAGAAGCACAAAGTAAGTAGAAACGTTCCTTCAGCCTTTCCTTCATGCCACGATAGATTCTGAACCTCCCACTTGATTAGAAATGTGTTTATTTCTTCATGGAACCTCTTATTGTTGCTTTTAGCTAAAAAGAGTGCTGAACTATTAAGCATCCACCATTAATAGTTGGATTCTGTATCGTGTACGGTGAATCATATTTTTGGGGAGAGTTTACACTGTTGTGGATGAAGCTTTGGCAGCATCTTGAAATGTCATTTTCTTTTTACAGAACAATGGTGGTCAAGAGAAGATGAAGGACCTACCTGTCCCGGTTTTCCTACGACCTTTAGACGAGAAAGATGCCTCGATGAAGGTATGTTCCTTTACTTTTGCTACTATACAGCTG